TCTTGGAGTTTTTGCATTCTTTATACTTTTTCCTTATTCTTTATATTTTAACAATACCTTGTATTTTAACAATATCTTATATTTTAACAATACTCTTGTAATTTATAACACTCTATTAAGTATAGTTCAAGCGGCCGTAGCCCAGTGGCTAGAGCGAAACGAAGCGTTCAAACCACTGCGCCACGTCAGCTATCAATATTAGAAAACAGAACTTTGTTTTCTAATATAGGTAAAAAAAAAAGATTATGTTTATATTTATAGTATCTAAGATAAACAATATGAAATTAGAATATCGGAGTGTCATTAAACTGTATTAAAAAATTCTCCAATCATTTTTTTCCATAATTTGAACCTTCTTATTAAAAAAGGTTTGATCGATATTTTTTCTTAAAGGATTCTCAGAATAATTTAGATAACATTAAATCTATTTTTTCTTAAATTAGTTTGATAATAATTTCTCAATAATAGATTACAACATATCTGCTATTATAAATATGCTAACTATTATTTTGAGATAAATTTTTTAATAAAATTTAATGTTAAATTAATCAATTCATTATATACATTTTAATTTGAAAATGTTTTATAGACTCCTAAAGTTCATTGAGATCTTAATTAATATGATTCTAACTCGACAAAATGTTTTGAACAATTTATTCGATGTTCTTTCCTGGGTGTGTTAGGAGCGAGTATATTTTAAGTTTATCTATTTAATACTAAATTTATAATTAATAAATTTAACTAATATAGTTAATAAAATAATATAATTAATGATTTTATAATTTTAAATTTGTTAATTTTTTTTTTTTAACATAAATTTAACTCAATTAAGTTTTTTGCTTAATCTCAAACTACATTGTAAAATAAATACAGGCTATTTGTCAGATTAACCTACTATGTCTATTATTTCAATATCCTTTAGATTATTTTTGAAAGCTCCGGATGCCACTGCATAATTTTTTACAAATCAAGTTTTACCAACAAAAGCTTTCAATAATTGTTTTATTGGCGATTCATTAGTATACTAAGTAAAAATGGGATAGGCGAGTTTGATGTCACATTTATGTCATTGCTAAACAAATTTATGCGATTGTTAAACAAATTTATGCTGTCAAAAAAGATGCTAAAGATAGATATAAATGATATTTTCTGCTGGAAAAAAAAAAATACTTTATTGTTTTTAACCAAGAAAATGAAATTATATTTCCTTCCAGGCTATGATAAAAGAACAATTGGATCATTTATAAAAAATAATAAAATGATTTGGCTATTACCATAAAATGATAAAAATAATTGGGCTTTAGAATAACTAAATTAAAAGGTTGAGTCGCAGATAAAAATTTATTATGATGATTGGGCTCAATGAGCAATACTCGAATGCTTGGAGTATAGGAAAAACTAAATTAAAATTAGACTATAGAAAAACATGGCCAGTCTCAGAGTAAACACAATATTTTGTTTTAAAAGAGTTCAGAACCTGTTTTATTATACATAAAACAAATTGTAACGTGTTTTCAATGTTTCAAAAGTTTAAAAACATTATGTATAATAGTAATATGTTGAAAATATATCAAATATTATTTTTCTTAGATTTATTACTTTAAAATAAAAAAAATAACTAACATTTTAATTTTAAGAAATTTTAATAAAGAAATTTCAAGAAATAGAAATGCTTAAAAGTTTTGAAATTTGTTTTTAAATCTATATTGAAGTTAAGTGTACGAAGATTACCATTTCAAAATAAATAATCAATATATCTAATCTCAAAAAGATAAAAACTGCAATTACAATAAATTTACTAATAATCTTGTGTGCAGTAAATAATACCTCATTACAAGATTTTTTTTTATTTTATTAAGTTAACTGTTGTCATAAATTTAGAAATTAAAATGTGAAATTTTATTCCTAGATACATAGAGCTCTGAAACACAAAATTTTCTCATATATAAAACACAAAGTTTTCTCATATATAAAACACAAAGTTTTCTCATATATAAAACACAAAGTTTTCTTATACCCCATTGTGTCCAGTATAGTTCTACAGAACTATACGGGACACAATGGGGTATATACCTTAGGCGGACACGTTTGGATGGAAGAAAATTTTTGACATTTTCAATAATCTTCTAATAATTACGTGTTGTAATCCATATCCTTTTTTCATAAAATAAATCGCGAAACAATTACACATTCAATGCTCACATTTATCAAACATACACACACACACACACACACACACACACATATATATATATTGAAAAAATCTTGTTTTTTTCAATATATATATATATATATATATATATATATATATATATATATATATATATTGAAAAAATTTTGTTATATATATATATATATATATATATATATATATATATATATATATATATATATATATATATATATATATATATATATATATATATATATATATATATATATATGTATATATATATATATATATATATATATATATATATATATATATATATATATATATATATATATATATATATATATATATATATATATATATATTGAAAATATTTTGTTAACAAATTTTCTTCAACTATTGAAAAAATTGCAAAAATGTGATAAAAAATCTAATTATGGTCTTTTATAGTAAATTTTCCGAACTCATTTCTGCGCTTATCCTGTTCAGCAGTAAATCGCTCAGCTACTTCTATTAAAGATACTATCAACAATATCAACGTGCGTATTTAGCACTGACAAGGAATTATATCTTTTTTGAGCCATTGTTGGTCTGAGCCACGTTTTGAACCTCCTCTGCATTGAAAATTAGCGTTCTGGTGTGGCCGATGTAGCTCTACTTGTTAACACGATTTGGATAATGATCCAAATATTCTGGATCATTTGGTGATTTTCTTTGTCCATGTTTTAAAGTGTTTATATATTAGTATTAATTTTTTTTATCAGCGAAAAAATCAACAATATTTTGCAAAATGCTGGGGGGGGGGCACAGCCCCATGGCCCCCCGTAGTCGTGGCTCATGTATATATATATATATATATATATATATATATATATATATATATATATATATATATATATATATATATATATATATATATATATATATATATATATATATATATATATATATATATATATATATATATATATATATATATATATATATATATATATATATATATATATATATATATATATATATATATATATATATATAGCTAATTACAGTTGAAAGTACAATAAATGCATAAATAAAAAAATTAATAATGATCTAGGAGAAAAATAACTTACATTAATTTTTTTTTAATTTTTAGGTCTAAAGTTAATAAGTGTATCTTGTTACACTGCCGTCTAACAACATTTAAACTGCCAGATTTCAGAAAAAAACATTGTGCAGGGTCGACAACACGGGTTTTGAAGTAGGTGGGGTGGGGGCACAATCATCAATTTGTGAAAAAAGTTCTCTATATCAAGATTTTTCAGATTTTTCTTAAAAAAAAAAAAAAAGTCCTTTAGAAAAAAGTGGGGCACATACCCCTGCCCCCCTCCTCCACCCCCATTGTTGTCGGCCCTGTTGTGGATAAACTCTTATTAACACATTTATTTACTCTTTAGTTCACATTCGCAAAATGTGACTTACTATCTTAGGAGCCGTTTTATTTTGGACGACGTATAAAATTGAATACATCATAAATACATTATTATATTGTCAACAATTATTTAAAATATAGTTTGCAAAACTAGTGAAAGTTTATATTTAAAATAAAAGCAAAATTTAGTTTAAAATTTAGATTTAGATGTGATTTTTGCTCAGCAAGTTAAAATGTCCCAAATAAAACACAAAAGTAGCAATAATTTAAATCCAACGATGAAAAAAAAGATTTTTTGTTTTATTTTAAAATTTACTTTTCTACGATTTGTTAGATTTACAAACCAGTTCGATTATTTGCTAAACTCGTTATAACTGGAACAAAGGTTAAGGTAAACATATAAAACGGTGACGTTAGGGACGCGCAGTTGCATAAATACATAATGTTAAATTAGATGCAAACTGTTTAATGAATATAATTATGAAAATTTGTTGATTAAATAAATATTTGATTATAATGATTAATAAGGAGAGATGATAGAATTCTGCATAGCTAGAAATAGTATTAAAGAATGTTATATCGTTGATGATTTTAGAAATCATTGAAAGAATAGAAGTTTTTTGAACTTCAAAAGTTGGTTTAAGCGATTAGTAGCTAATCTTTTTTTTTTTTAATTAGTAAAATACCGCTAACAAAAGTGTACCGGACGCAAAATATTAAAATAACTGCCAAATATATTTTTGATTTCCATCCTCCTCGTAAGTACAGGAACTGACGGCAGATTAGGAAACTTTTTCATGTAAACGATGAAGTGTTTCTGAAGCCAGATAAATTCTTGAAAGTAAATTAAAATAATTAATAATTTTTGAATTTAAATTACTTTTTAGGAAGTTTTTTTTTTTTTTTTTTTTTTTTGAAATTTAAAAAAACATTGAAAAAAGCTACCAAAAAGGATGTTTTCTAACTTGTTTAAAAAAAAGGTTTCGATATTGTTGCGGAAACTTTATATTCCGTTAAAAACTACTGTTTTCTTTTTTAACAATGATAGCAAAAGTTGATGCCTTTTTAAACAGTTTTCTTGTTTGTGAATGATTATAAAAATGAGTATAAAGTAAGTCCAAAATAAGACAAACTTTAATGAAAAAAATTTACTTATTAAAAAAAAATATGTATCAGAAATGTTAAACTTTAATCTTGCTTTCGTAATCATACGACAGGGTATTATTAATTTTAACATAAGTAAAAAATCATTAGATTTTAATTTATAACAAATGTTTTTTTTTTTTTTTTTAATATTTTAAAACAAACATCTCAGTTGGAAAAGATAACTTTATAGTAATGTGTTAGTAAGACGTGTTTATAGAACATATTTTCAATTCTAAATACTAAGAATTAGTTCGTTGCAATACAAATAAATAAATAAACAAATCATTTTATTGAAGACTAAATAGTTTCAATCAATAAATGACCCTAATAAAAGATTTTTTCAAAAATATTTACAAATACATTTACAATTAGTTGCATGGCAACTTAAATATAAAGTTAAGAGCGATATATACAAAAAGATGAAAAAAAAAACTTATTCGTACGGTCGCCAAACTAAATTACATTTTTTTGGCGAATTTTTCTGCTTGGGCAAGTTTGGAGACGGAAGAAAAATACGCGTAGATGTATAGTTAATTAAAGGACTGCTTGATCGTTCTGAAGAAGGACTAGGTGGTGGGGTAGATAAATGGTGAGAATTTTCAAATGCCGTTGACATTTGACTCATAATTTGATATTTTGTTTGAAGGTCTATATCCATAGCCATAATATTTTGGTACATAGCGTGTTTACAATCTTCGTAGCCAGATCGATAAACAGAAGAATATTGTTCTGAAAAAATTAAAAATGATAAAATTAAACTTGATTTAAACTTTTATAACTTAATTATAACTTAAAAAATTGCAAATTATATATATATATATATATATATATATATATATATATATATATATATATATATATATATATATATATATATATATATATATATATATATATATATATATAATATATATATAATATATATATAATATATATATATATATATATATATATATATATATATATATATATATATATATATATATATATATAATATATATATATATATATATATAATATATATATATATATATAATATATATATATATATATATATATATATATATATATATATATATATATATATATATATATATATATATATATATATATATATAATGCATATATATTTACACACACATTCGTGTTTGCGCATTATCTTTAATGACATAACATTTGTCCATCATTTTAAAACGAACGAATAAAGCTGCTATTTATAACAGATTTTGCTTTATATCTTTTGTATAAGGTACTGGGAAAAACGAGTGTTTACTCGAGCCGACAGAACTTACTTTCGTTTAGTACAATATATTACGCGTCTTATTTTCACAAAAGCTCAGCGGTTTTCAATAAAATGAAGCCATTTTGTTAGGTCACAGAAAGAAATGCTTTTGTTTGTGTGTGGGAACTTTTTAAAGTTTTTTTGCAGCTGTCAAAATAGAACATAATGTATTGTGCATCGGACCTTTAAGGAAGCGTGCCAAGTCTGATTGGAAGACAAACTTTAAATTTAGTTTTGCGATTCCGTGAATATATTTTTTTTTTTTAAGAAAGCGGAAAACGTATTGCAATATATAAAAACATTTTTGTTTTAACTTTAATAATCAATTACCTCCTCTGCTTTTAAACTGTTGTTGTAAATAATGAACAGTCATATCTAGGATATCGACTTTCTCCATTTTTGTAAACTTAGTTGCCTAAAAGAAACAACATGTTGAAAGTTTTGAAAAAACAATAAAAATAATTTTAAAAATTTGTTTATAAAAACCGTTATAAAAATAGAAGTCTTACATCCTTGTTCAAAAAAGACAAAACTAAGTGTTTCATGTCGTTTAGACTGTTGTTTATGCGTGCACGCCGTTTTCTTTCTAACAACGGTTTGTTAGCCTAAATATTAAAAAAAAAAAAAAAATTACTTTAAAGCAACAATACAGCAATCTAAGAAAATAATAAATAATAAACATCGAATAGTTAAATAATATAAATAATATATACATATATATATATATATATATATACCCTTCTTTTTTCCTTCATTGGATGTCTTTCTGTGTCCGTCATTTTTAATAATTTTTATTTTATTTTCTAAAGGAAAAGTAGTTGCAAATAATAAAAAATTAATTAATAAAAAGAATCTTATTTAATAATTCCTTCATTCCTGCACAGCATATTGAAAATTTGTTAATAGACTTTCAAGTGACCCGTGCCTACTTCCAAGCGACAATTGTTTGCACACTATAAGTAAACGTCTATTTAAAGCCATTATGACATAATAAACTTTTAAGCGTGAGAATTTTAGCAAAAGCGCGATTGGTTTACGGCTTTAAACGGCGCGTGTTGGTCGAGTTATTATCAGTTTAAACAATGAAAAATGATTATAATAGAATTTTTTTTAAAGAAATTTTGATCTCCGATTGGCTAGTTTTAAATTATTTGCTACAATAGCCACAGACCATGTTTTTAAGGTTTAAAGTAAATAAATAAAGTTTTATTATGTTGTTCAATTTACCACACTACCTCATACCAAAATTATTTAAAAAAACAGTGAAAAACTTGTATTAAATCAGATTGCAAAATATATTAACAAAAAAAAAAAAAAAAAAAAAAAAAAAAAAAAAAAAAAAAAATCACTATTACAATTATTTTCCTCAAACACTTGGGTGCAATGATTTTTTCATGCAAATAAAATATCATTTTTGAACAATTTAAGATAAAAATAATAAAAGTAATAATAGTAATAACAATAATATTTTATATATATGTATATTTATAAAATATATAAATTTGCACATACAATCTATATGAGCTAGAAATGCAGATATTAAAATTGGTTTTTGAAAAATTCAAAAGTACCGTCTAAAGATAAGAGAAAATTGTTTAAGTATTTAAATATAACGTTTTGAGCTTCCTGTCTCAAGAGATAATCTTAATTATTAAAAAATAATACCAAGGGAAATAGCTAAATATAATTTCTTCTTACAAACCTGTCAAACTTATGTGATAAAAATTACCTGTTAATGATAGGAATGGTGTTATTAGTTTTTGTAAGGTTTGGATAGTTAATAACAATGTAATTCATATTATTTAGGTATTCCTAAAAATGACATATAAGTATCAAAAAAGGTTTATTTGTTGTTTTTTTTTATTTAATTATTTTCATTATTGCACGTGTCTTTTTTCTCCATGACCTTCATCTTTAGACAAGATTTGTTTTACTTTAATTTAACCGGAAGTTTTAAAAACGTTGTTACTGAACTAAAATGTCGGAGAGCTTCTAATGCAAATTGAAAAATCTTTTCTACGGAAATTAATTGAATAACTATAAAGTATATTTCATACATTGATGCAATTGTAGATTTTGTAAGACAGAATTTCCGTTATTTAAATTTGTTTTTAATTTACTTATACTTAATATATTTTTATTCTAGAACAAAAACATTTCTTTGTTAAACAGAAATTTTCTTGCATATTTAAACAGAAAGAACTTGAGTTTGATAATACTTTTCCCATCAGACACGTGATTGATTTTTAATTTAATAGATGTATAATAATTTAATAGCCTATTGATTTTTAATACATTCTACTTCCATTCACCAAAGTTTTTTTAATATGACTAACAGAACTTAATTTTTCTTCAAGATCGATTTTTAAAGCAAAAAAAGTTAAAGTTATTTTGACTGACATTTGCAATTGCGTTTTTTATTTCTGGAACTTTAAAAAGTTAATTTTAAAAAATTGAACAATTTATTTTAAACCTTTTATGATGGCGTTGGAGGGCTTATTTTTTTCTTTTTTCTTCTTATTTTATTACCACAACAAACCATTTTCTAGCATGAAATTTTAAAATCTAACGATTATCCGTTTACAGTTTTAGCTATTATATTTTGTCAATAAGATTATACTTGTTATATGAAAAGATTTTAAATTTTTTTTTTGTTACATGAAAAAAAGATTTTGTTTAAAAACTTCAAAAAAGAAGAGCAAATATAATTGTAAATATGTGATAATATAACGGTCATTAAAGTCCTTTTTTTTTAATTTAACGTCATTTTTAACATTAGTTTATGTATTAAACGTCAAATAGATTCTAATGACAAGATGCATCTAAAATTAACTTGGATCTTCTCACAGTTAAAAAAACCTCAAAATTAATTTTTGCTACAATAAAGTGCTTAATAAATTAGTTTTAATATTAGCAATTAAAGAAATTTCATTTTACGCAAAATTTTCATGACGTCAACCGGTGTCTTGGACTTGCCTTTTTTGTTATGATAGTAAGCGTGTGAAACTTTGAGGGTGATAAAACTGCACTTATTTTCTATTTTATCAATAAGTTATTTTTTATGTAAAATAACAAAGTTATGACGGTTTAAGTACCGATTTTTCGATATATGGATTTGTTGAAGAAATTGTGGTCAAAATGATGTTTTTCTTCACTTTAATTATCATAAAACGCAATTTCCGCGTACCTAATACACACACACACACACACACACACACACACACACACACACACTCACACATACATATATATATATATATATATATATATATATATATATATATATATATATATATATATATATATATATATATATATATATATATATATATATATATATATATATATATCTACGCTTCTGCATCCTTATATATCCCCCTTCCAGCGCAAACATTAATGACATTTGCTTTTGTTATAAACTCTATTTTAAAAATTTGTTTATGTGAAAAACTATTACGTCATTATAACGCATTAAAGATTTGACTTTTACTTTTTCCCTAAGTTTTACAAAATTATTGAGATTTATTGAGAAAATACATTAATTAGTTGCAACTGATTAATTTATTTTAATTTAATTGCACGTTCTAACGTCCATAGCAATTTCTGCCCGCTATCTATATGCTAACTTTCTAAATCGACTTCTTTAGTCTGTCACTCTAATATTTTTCGTTCTTCATAAACTCACTTATTTTGGTCCGTCGAAGCGGGTTATGATGCTCTCTAGTGAGCTAAACTTGTTTTCGAGGGCACCTCTATATGGCAATTAGTCGGAGGAGGATAAACCACAATACCAAAATATTGAAATTTGACAACATTATTTTTCAGGTGTAATAATGTTTGAAGCAACAAAAATATTCAAAAAAGCTTTCTTAAACTTAGCAATAAAAATGACGTTTAAATTAAACAACGCAGTTAAAACAGCGTTTATATTAACTTTAAAATTTTAAATTTGCGACCACTTTAAAGACAACAATCTTAGACAAACACACTGATTTGGTTTAAATATTTACTTTTCAAAGTTACATATAAGAATATATGAACATATATGTATATATGAACATATATGTTCATATATGTAATATATGAATATATTACATAAATGAACAGTTATAGTATTACTTTGAAAAACACTTTTAAAATAAGTTTTTTTTGAATTTTTTTTTAGTCATGAATTAGTTTAAATAAATGATTGTTTAATCAAAAATGAGTTATCAAAGCCTCCTTGCACGATGAAGGAGTATATTTTACCCTCTATCCGAAAGAAATTTCAAGCTCCAAGGGAGCTGATATTCGGAGGCATTACGTAGGATAGGCAGCGTAGACAAAATCGAGAAGATTACCGAATGTATAATAGGATTGAGGACCACCGTGTTTATTATAGGGTTGGAGAAGTTGCAGATAAATTGTTAAAAAGATGAATCCACGGTCCATCGAGTGTGTCGCGATATCAAGTGACTCACGATGCATTCGGCATAATAATATTATGTTACACACTAAACTTTTTTAAAAGAATTTTAAAAAAATGTAATTAATATGGATTTGTTGAAGAAATTGTGGTCAAAATGATGTTTTTCTTCACTTTAATTGTCATAAAACGCAATTTCCGCGTACCTAATACACACACACACACACACACACACACACACACACACACACACACACACACGCACATATTTATTTCTCCCGTTTATTTCTCTTATTTTGTGAAACAATAAACATTTTTGATTTGCTAAAATTTTGTAATGTGATGAATTAAAGGAAACTCGTTAAGGTTGATGGTGGATTTAATTTGAGCTTAATTTTATCCTTAACACTAACTATTTTTGTTGGTCAACGGTCTCTTTTTTTTTATTGGTTTTTTGTAGCATAAATTTTTGGATTTGTCACACAAAAAATGTTAATATAATATTGATTATGAAATGTTAATATAATATTGGTTTAGAATTTCTAAAAATTTTAGGGTTAATAGAATATGTCTTAGTATTGATAGAATACATTTTACCAGAGGCGCATTGAGTTGTTTTCTGGGGTTTGAGATGAAAAAAAAAAAAAAAAAAACCTAATGTTTATTTTTTATTTTTTTTTTTTTGCATGTTTATTTTATGTTAAAAATTGCCACAACCGGGAAAACAAACTCTAAAAGTATTTTCCCCAAACCCTAAACGTGAGGGCAAGCTGTAAAAGTTTGTTTATTTTTACAAAATAATTTTTTTTAAATTCTAAACTTATATCCGAAAAACCTGTGACCAAAAAATTCACTTCACTTACATTAAGTGAGAGTAACTAAGTAATAAATTAATGTTTAAATTTTTAAGACATTTTTAAACCTTTAGGTCGGATTATTGAAAATTGGTATTGTGAATTGTAATAAAACTTTTAACAGGATATTGTGAACTTGATACTTATTAAGAAAATTAAAAAAGTTGGATCTAAAGTGACCTACTTAAGATAATAGACGTGTTATCTAGATACTATACTGTTACTTACTTTACATCATTTACGTTTTTAAGCAATTTTTAAAGAGGATTTCCTTAAACGTCAGCTCATATCTCTGTAACAAAAAATACCGGTGAGCTGATAATTTATTTAAATTTATAGAAAATCAGATTATAATCAAACTCATATTGTGTAATTGGTAAGTTCAGTAAACCCAAGTTTGACCATGGTGCGCTTTATATCGGCTGATGACGTTTAAAATAGCACACTCTTATTTCAAGCGTAAAATAATTTTATTCTATTACCACTAGCAGATTGAAAGTGATTGTTACGGGCTTGTAAGAACCCAGCTAAATTATTCTCTCAAAACTTTTTTTCTACAATGACAAATTATACTTTTAGGTGTCTCAATAATCCGTATTCAATTCTGTTACGCATTTCTTGAATCCATATCAATTTCA